CACCCAGCAGCTGCATGTGGAGGAGCGGGGAAGAGAACCCGGTTCCCCAGATTATGTGACTACCGCTCTTAACCACTACACCACACTGGCTCTCGTCTACCCATGTACTATCTGAAACCAAAGGGGTGTGTTGGTTGCCGGATGTGAAATATATTGGCATTATTTTCAGCTCTCCTACCTCACTGAAAGGAATCTTTACCCATATGAAGCCAGCGATGGAACTCAGGCTTACATACAAGCCTGTGCTCTTTCAATGGACGACAGCCTTGCTGCATCTTATGAGCACTAAGCTCACACACTATTTTTGATGAGGAGGATAATGATTTAAATCACATATTCTCCTGGTGTGTTTTGATGTGATCTTGCAAGCCATTTCTGTTTTTGAAACAGAGATGGGAAATTAATTTTTTTAACAACAACAACAAGGAAACACATATTGATTGGCTGTGGCTGTTTTGAAGTTGCTGGTTTGTTTGCAACTGCCGGCCTGCTAATCTTCCCAGTAAGAACGCATCCCAATTTCCGTGTCTGGAGACAAACCTTCAGGAATCAGTAGAGTTATTCTAATGTCAGGCAGTGAGAAGCATTGCTAGGTTTTCTGCCCCACTGTTTTGCTAGCGTCTGCCAGGACATCGTGTGGTAAAACCTCAAAACAAAAACAGAAAGCCCTACCCCCAAAAAATCTCCTAAAATGTTCATTTCACTTTACGTTTTGGGTGGCCAACTATTTTATTTATTCTTTATTTTACCTTTGCCACATTTTCCTGTCTGTGAGGATAGACTTTTAATGTGGACACATGGGTACAAGTCTAGCCCAATAAAAACACAAATGAGAATTATCCTGTTAGTCCTACATGATAAACACGGTTCACACACACACCCCATTCTCCACCCCCCGGTCGCCTTCAAGTGCACCTGGCTGGTTAGAAGGCCGATATCCAAAGTGCAGTTAGTTGGATTTGTTTCTCCTGGAACAAATCCAAGTATTTATAGAGGTAGGCTGCTGTTTTGTTTTTAATTGTTGGGGGGAGGAATGCTTTCAGGCCTAGCTGTTCCCTCCCTCCTTTCTGGAAGTCTTGCACCTGTTTTTATAGCAAAGTCACCATCGGTGCTTATAGTTTTATGCATGAATATAGAGAGGGAGGAATGGAGGGAGAGAGTTATGCGAGTTAGCTGTGGTGCTGCCAGTCAGGAAAATATTGCAAGAGTTTGGTATGAAATCATGAATTAAGTAGCATTCTAGAAAACCATGTGCTCCTTGATGAGGCAGTAAATTAATCTGAGTCATGCTTTTTTTAATAGCACAGAGGTGTAATAAGGAGGACTGGAGCCTTGGTATTTCCAAGTTTGATATGGATCTCCCTCAGGTTTTTTTGCCCATGTTAGAAAGCAATGGGCTCAGGACTGTCTCCAATTTCAAGGCATCCCTCAGCAAAGCATCCTTGGTGAGTCCCCATCCATGAGGTTGGATGCTGTGGGCATTGTGGAAAATTTCACATACTGGCTCGTAGCTAGTGCCGGATTTATGTATAGTATAAGTAGGCTGAAGCCTAGGGCCTCTAAATCTAGGGGGCCTTGCCAGCCTGCCCTCTCCCCAGTGCCGCAGTCTCCCCTCTCCCAAAATTGCAAACCCAAAACTTCATGCAAGGGCAGGGCAACTCAGGCCCAACAACTATTAGACTCAGGGCTAGCCAGTGGGGCCCAATTTGAAGAAGTGGGGCCCAACTTTAGGGGTTTTTTTGTAGGGCCCCAGTTCACAGCCAAAGTCTGCAAAATCTTATAGATAGAAATAAAATCCATCTAGATTGCCCTGGTGTGTGGGCCCCCCTTAGGAACAGTCTGTGGGGCCAAATTTGGCCCAATTGCTCCAATTGCCTTATGGTCAGCTCTGATGAAACTGTGCAGGGGTTGGACTGACCTTCTAGGGTCCCTGGTGTCACTAGTCAGAGTACAGACTCAAGGACTTGTTATGGAAATAAAGGGGGAAGCACTTATTGGAAATCAGTTTTGTCACCTCTTCCCCCCCCCCAACCCTGGGACGATGAGCCCAGCCACCTTTTATTCACAGTCGCATAAGCACTACACTACAGTATGGCCATAAACCTGTACGTTCAACCACTGAAACACACACCCAATATGTAGCAATGGAGATTTATGTTACTGCTTTATAAATGAACACTGTGTTTTATTAATGGACTCTGTATTTTTGGAATTACCTAAGAGCCACCAAGAGGGAGCTCTAGAATCGGACAGCTAACCAATTGGGTACTACCAAACAGCGACCCCTATTGCTGAAAGCAGGTAACCAGCAGGAAACACTTCAGCTCAGCCTTTGCACTGTTGACTGAACACCCCCTGCTGTGCGGATCATGGAGAAAGCTCAGAAATTATATCCCTTCTGGCGTCCTGGCAACTCTATTATGCTGCTGTAAACCCAGGTGCACCAGGAGCCCAGAATAGTAGCAAATAAAAGCTGCTCATCGACAGCGACTAATAAGACTTGTCAACCAGTTCTTTCAAAGTCTTCCTAAATTATAAAGCTCCAAAATAAAGGCCAAAAGAGAGCAGGTCTTGGAAGAGCGAGCCATACAATGGGCACTACCAGTGAAAAGGCCCTGCTCTGTGTAGTTCCTGCCCTGTCATTTGATAGGGTGCCCACTTGCCCTCCTTCTTGACATGGAATGCTCTCTATTGGAGTCCCAAGGTCCGGTAAAAATACCATAAGAAGGGAAAGCAGGGACCTTGAAGTTCCCAACAGCTGTCAAGCAAGCAAACACCTAAGCCACCTTTGTCACAGGATGCCTATGTCCTGGCCAGGCCTGCGCCCAATCTTGTTTTGGTACAATCTTGTTTGTTCTCAGTAACTGAAATTATATTATGAACATATACAAGCAGAAAAGTTGTTTTCCTTCATTTGCAAGGAATCGTACAAAATAAAGTGGCACTAATAAAGAAAAGTTCCAGAGTGGCAACAGAAAACAAACTAAAAATGCTTTTGCAGTTTATCAGCACTATCCAGCAATATCAAGTTATAGGAAAACTGGTGCTATTAACGGTAACCCTTCTAGTTGGTTAATTGATTTGGCAACTTCCATGCACATGACGTCCGATGCTAATTCCCCCCCCCCAAAGAGTTAAATGATAACTCATCAGAGGCAGCTACAGTTGCAAATGGAAACAAAATACAGGTATCTGTGAAAGGAAGAGGAGCAGGTTTGGTCAAGTATGTTGCAGGTAGAAATACTGTTTGTAATGAAGTGAGAGGAGTAGTTGCTTGAATTAACAAATAAGAAAGTTTTGAGAATTTACATGCTAGATTAAAATTGATCAATTCATTGAGAAGGGGATTGTAAGAAAAACACTGGGGCCTAATTTGAGTAACAGAGTGCTTGGTATCTGATGGGCTATCTCCTCATTTATTTCCACACTGTGGCTTCAGACCAAATCACCTGTCAGGAGAGCTATGAGATTCAGTTGAGGGTCAGATGCCTTGTCAATCCCAGCAGGTATATAACAGGAAGACGCCGCCTGCTCAGGCCTGTGGCCTTCCCAGCCACGAACAACTCTGGGGTTGCAGTGCCCATCTCGCTTTACAGGCTGAGGGAGCCGCTTCCACAGACAGTTTTTTCCAGGTCATGTGGCCAGCATGACTAAGCTGCTTCTGATGAAACCAGAGCAGCACACGGAAACGCCATTTACCTTCCCCCCAGAGCGGTACCTATTTATCTACTTGCACTGTGTGCTTTTGAACTGCTAGGTTGGCAGGAGCTGGGACCGAACAACAAGAGCTCACCCTGTCACAGGGATTCGAACCACTGACCTTTCAATCAGCAAGCCCAAGCAGCACAGTGGTTTAGACCACAGCACTACCCGCGTCCCTAGTAATCACACTTAAGCACATTTAACTCCATTTTTGGACTGTATGTTTGTTCCTAATATGCCTTTGGAACATCTAGCTGAGTGGAACTACAGACATATTTCATTCCTGTAGCCTCTGAGCTTATAGATACATTGGATTTGCACTGGTTTTAGGGCTTCCTCCAAGGAATTCTGAAAACTGAATATTGCTGAGGGTGCTGAAAATTATCTCCTAGAGACCCTTAGCCTTCTTACACAACTACGGTCCCTAGGGTTCCTCAGGGAGAGAATGATTGTTAAATCAGTCTAAACCTTAGCCCTTTCGGTCATTCGGTCACAGTTAATGAATATGCATTGGGCGATGAGAGAAATCAATGGCAGGCTCAACAGCTGGTTTTCATTGAAGCATATGGACCTTTTTTAAAAATGCAAATTGCAGGCACCAGATTACCAGGTCAGGAGCATCCCAGACCCCGAGATTTCAGGGTCCAAACCTGAGACCAAAGGGTGGCTCCTGGTGATGTCACAAGGGGATGGCCCCCAGTGATGTCATCGCACATGGTTCATTAAGCATTAATCACAATCACTGAGAGCATGTCTAACAAATGTGTGCGCATGTCACTGCTTGAAAATTGAGATAGACGCCCCACCTGCTTCCCTCTGAAATAATTCACCTAGCCTCCACTCCACTTCAGATGAAAATAAATAATAAACATTTCCTCCGGTCCAGACTCTCCAGTTCGCAATCCTTCTCTCTCAGCCTTCCAGTCTCCTTTGGTCAATTTTTTGTCCTCAACTTCTAAGACTTGATCGAGGGATTGCTGTGGGTGGTTGCTCTGCATGTGCTCTGCTCACTTCTGCAACCCTATACCTTGCACCAGGAGTGCATACACCCATCCTATTCTTGAGCCCAGCCCAGTTCTTTTTCTTTCTCTACCCACCACTAAGCTCTACAGACAAAGGTTAATTCACAGCCAGCTCCTGCCCAGCTGCAGCTTGCAAGCTACATGCACAGCAGTAGTAGGAGTAGTAATGGTATTTTTGCTCACCTAATAAATCAAGCCTGCCCCTTAGAATCCTAGAATTGTTGGAAAGGAGCACAAGGGTCATCTAGTACAACTCCCTGAAATGCAGGAATCTTTTGCCCAATGTGGGGATCAAACCCACAACTCTGAGATTAAGAGTCTTGAGATCTGTTGACTGAGCTACTCAAGGTCAGCCTTGGAGATCTTGCAAGGTGGAAGGGACATCTCTATCCAGACTGGAAAGGGTTTCTGTTGTGCTGGTGTGCCATTTTTTCCTTTCATCTTCCTCCTCCCTGCCTTCTTTCAATGATTATCCAGTATGGCATATATAGGTAGCCCTTATTCTCAGGCTGTTGTGTTTTTAAAAGGAAATTGCACCAAAAAACCAATTTAGGATATTTGAATGCAGGCTGTTTGGACTGAAAGAAAACACATAATCTGTAATAGTGGGCCATTAACTTCATTTAAGGAACACGTTTTACAGTTTACTTTATAGGCTTTATCATAATTTTTACTGCAAGCGGTATTGTTCTGTGATTGGACTTTGAAAATAATGGCCAATATAATAAATAGCCATTTCCTAGGACAGATAAATAACTGTGTTTTTTAAACAACAACAACAACATAGAAAAACAATTCTGGATTCAAGAGTAAAATGGCACTTTGAGAAAGTGTTTTGCATGTTATGCATGTTTACTGGGAAGTAAATCCTTTTGTCTCCAAAAGAGCTTATTCCACTTAGTTCTAACAATCCTTTTCTCCCTTCAGCTTGGATTTTATGAGATTCCACAGCATGGAATCTTTAATCTGCCTTGGCCCAAATACATGTGATGCAGCAGGTCTGGGTCTGTTCAGTGCCTCAGTGGACCTACTGGGTGCCCTGTGTAATAGTATGTCTGCAGCCTTGGTTTCCAAAGACAAAATGCAGAATAAAATTATTATGGGTATAATGTAATGTAATCTGTAGACATTAGCATGACGGTGCTCACTTCTCCAGATCAAGCTGCTGTGAAAAGAATAGCAGCGGGCTGGTCTAGGTTTTCCTAGCCATTTGGCATCCCCAAGAATGAAATGGGAGTGACAGCGATGCTCCTGTTGCCCTGTGAGAGTCTGTGCATTGCTATGTTTTGTTGCTTGTTTTATCGCCTCGTACTTTATGGTCAATTTGTTTGCTATCGATTTTGGAAAGCTGCTTGTCTCTTTGCCTGTTCTCTATGCATTTGGACACCTCTTAAGATACCATAAGCACATTTTGCATGACATTTCCTGAGATCAAAGAGCAGGTTTCTGGCTATGCATGGATACAAATGGATACAAAAGGATACAAAATGGTGGAGTCAACCTTCCAAAATTGCACTGGTTTTAACCACTGATTTCTTTTTTTAAAAAAATAATAATCTTTTTTTATTGATTTTCAAAAATATAAACATACAGCATAAAACAATTCAAGATCCAATTATCGAGATTACTCTGAATCCCCCGACTTCCCCCATCCCTTCCATAGGTCCTTTTGATTCTATTTTCAACTGCATATCAATTCTTTTCCATTTTTTCATCTTCCTAAGTTATCTATACATTCTGTTACATTACAAGTATACCGTATTTTTCGTCCCATAGGACGCTCCGTCCCATAGGATGCACCTAGGTTTTTTTGGGGGGGGGGGAATGTCTGGCGGATGTCTGCCCGGCACGCGGGGTGCTCTGCTTCAGGGCGCCCGCGTGCCGGACAGCAGGCTGCTATCCGCAGCCTAGGGAGCCCTGCGGGAACTCCCGCAGGGCTCCCCAGGCTGTGGATGTCTGCCCAGAGCGCCAGGCGCTCTGCTTCAGGGCGCCTGCGCGCCGGGTGGCAGGCTGCTATCCGCAGCCTAGGGAGCCCTGCGGGAACTCCCGCGGGCTCCCCAGACTTGCTGATAGCTTCCTGAAGCCTGGAGAGCGAGAGGGGTCAGTGCGCACCGACCCCTCTCGCTCTCCAAGCTTCAGCGAAAGCCTGTATTCGCCCCATAGGACGCACACAGATTTCCCCTTCATTTTTGGAGGGGGAAAAGTGCGTCCTATAGGGCAAAAAATACGGTATTTAAAATCCTGCTAATGTTTTGACCTGTTCACAATGATTTTGTATAAACATTATGAATATTTCCCATTCTTTAAAAAATTTCTTGTCTTCTTGATTCCTGAGCTTCCCAGTTAGTTTTGCCATTTCAGCATAGTCCATCAACTTGGTTTGCCATTCTTAACCACTGATTTCAAAACTGCACTGATCTTGTTGGTTTCTTAGAATTCCCAAACAATGTTGGGCACTTACCATAAGCAATATTATTATTAACAATAAGGTTATATTCAGCACCAGGCTGCACCACCATTTTGAAGTTGGTGTGTGTGTGTGCATGCTAAGGGTTGGATCCAAGCTTAGTCATGCTCAGAGTAGACCCAATCAATGGGTCAGTTCTAAGTATTGAACCTTACATAGGTGCCATCTCGTGCTGAAGATTGCGGGTGCCCACAACAAGGGGCTTCACCTTTGCCCATTGACTTTGTTGGGGACCCACCCTCCACAAATATATTATTGTGGGTGCAGAAGCACTCACGGCCCTCTGGAGTTGGCTCCAGTGGGACCTTGTGTGTCTAATCACAATCATATTTCTCAATGTTGTTTGCTGCAGCTTACATGCATCTCATATAAGCAGGCAATATTCTAACAATGTCTGCTTGATCAGGACAATTTGTTGTCTGTCTTATTAAAACAGTATCAGTAAGTGGAAAGGTCATTGAACAGATGTAACAATTCCCCCCCCCCCCGTGTCCCCTGAGTGATGGGATGAGAAATATCAAGGCATCTGCATTGTGTGTCTTTTTGCCTCCTTTTCTTTTGGTCTAATGAGTTTTTTCCCCCCATCTGGGTACTCAACGAAAATCAATGCAACTAATGATGGGCGTTTGAGGCTTGCAGTTTTCAAAGAAGTAGGTAGGAGTGGTTGGTTGCTATTATCTTTTGTCGCAAGAGGATGAGGAGGCTAAAAGGGGTCCACTGACCATGTGAATTGGGAGGGTGAGCACTGACCCTCAAAACCAATCATTCAGGAGTAACATCATTTGTCTAACAAAGGAATCCTGCTGTGAGCAATACAAAACTATAGTGAAGTGTCCATTAACTTCTTATGTCTCTAAAATGCTTATAGTATGAAAATCTCAGCAGTCATGAAATTAAAAGACGCCTGCTCCTTGGGAGAAAGGCGATGGCAAACCTAGACAGCATCTTAAAAAGCAGAGACATCACCTTGCCAACATAAGTCTGTATAGTTAAAGCCATGGTTTTCCCGGTAGTGATGTATGGAAGTGAGAGCTGGACCATAAAGATGGCTGATCGCCAAAAAATCAATGCTTTTGAATTATGGTGCTGGAGGAGACTCTGGAGAGTCCCATGGACTGCAAGAAGATGAAACATATCCATTCTTAAGGAAATCAGCCCTGAGTACTCACTGGAAGGACAGATCGTGAAGCTGAGGCTCCAATACTTTGACCACCTCATGAGAAGGAAAGACTCCCTGGAAAAGACCCTGAGGTTTGGAAAGATGGAGGGCACAAGGAGAAGGGGACGACAGAGGACGAGATGGCTGGACAGTGTTCTCGAAGCTACCAGCATGAGTTTGACCAAACTGCGGGAGGCAGTGGAAGACAGGAGTGTCTGGCGTGCTCTGGTCCATGGGGTCACGAAGAGTCGGACATGACTAAACGACTAAACAACAACAACATGAAAATCTTATAAAGCAGTGCAGATTGGATTTGTTTGGATGCTATTCTATTAGTTAAAAATGGTTGGATTTACTATGTTTTGGAATTATGTTTCTAAGCCACCTTGAATGGAAGAGGCAGGGTAGAACAGGGTAGATCTTGAGGTTCAGCTTTTCACCTGTTGTTTTTCTATATGAATTGGATTGGCCGCAAAAGACAGTCATCTAAAATTTTGAGGCTGCTACTGAATAAGACTTTGGGATTTCAAAGAACAGTACCCCCTGATGTAATTTACAATGTCAGGTGATTGACAGGTGGGCAACACCCCACCCCATTCACACACACGTCAAATTTGGCCCGCAAGGCAGATCCTGGAGGAAAAACCAGCTTGTCATCCTCAAATAAGAACAACAATATGGACGAGTGAAATGAATTGCTCCATTTCTCAGATTAATTATATCTGTTTGCCAAAACCTAAACTCATCTATCTTTCACCAGGAACCCTAAAACCTGTGACATGGTGAAATAGTATCAGTGTATGGTGCTGAAAAATATTTCAGAAAGATTATCCTGCCAAAGATTATCCATTTGCTCTCAAGTGGCAATGGCTACTACTATTATGTAGCCATTCAACCTTATTTTGGGCCTTGTTTCTCCAGTACCAGTTCCCAACTTGATGTCAGTGACCACTTCAATGTAACTTGGCTAGGACTCCAGGAAGGTTCTCCTATCTATGATATATTCTGTTTTCCGCTTTGGTTTCTCCTGTATGACTTCTCAATTTGTGGGAGAATGATTTGATGCAGCAGACTGGCCTAGATCTGCGCAGTACATTTCCCCCCCTTTAAACATTTATACCCAGCTTTGCCATGTAGGTTCCAAAGCAGCTTACAGCAATAAAATATACAATTCATTGTGATTTGTCACACATTGCTAAATGGGCTTCACGCTTGTTCTGATAACAGAGGAATTCTCTACTTCAGTTAATTCCTTGGGCATGGATGGTGGGAGATGCAGGCTGGTTTAAAGAGGTAGGTCATCTTTGAAAGGAAATCATCTGAGTGGCAAAGGGCTGCCCCAATCTGATTCCGCTCACCTTTGTGAGTAGGCAACAAAAGTCAAGCTCTTGCCAACTGACTGAAGAATTCCAGGAATAAGGTGGTTTTGCCCACAAATGGGGACAGGAGTGACCATCAGCTTGTTCCCCAGCTTCTACCTTCCCCCATCCTCTCTTTTCCCCTTGTTGCGTAATCTGTAGTTAAAGCCATGAACTTGATCTCAGATCTTCTACCTTCATTCAGCTGGGGAGCAAAGGCCCTGAGTCCCAGCGGCTGATGATATTATAGGGATTTTGGGTACTAAAACAATGCCAAAGGGTTTTCCAACCGAATCCATGTCTCCTCAAGGCTTTGTTTAGCAAGGAAGGCTTCCTTTGCTAGAGGATAAAGTCTTGAGCCTTTGC